GAGAAAAAGGGAGAGGGCGAGAGAGACAAACATCAATGATGAGAGAGAACCATCAATAAGCTGCCTCCTGCAAGCCCTCTTCTGGGGGTCAAGCCCACAACCAACGCATGTGCCTTGACTGGGAATCGAACCATGTCCTCCTGGTTCCTGGGTCGATGCTCCACCGCTGAGCCACACCTGCCGGGCTTATTCTTATTTTATTTTACTTAATCCTCACCCAAGGATTTTTTAAATTTCCATTGCTTTTAGAGAGTGGAAGAAAGGTGGAAGGCGGTGAGAGAGAGAGAGAGGGCGACATCAAGGTGGGAGAGACACATCCATTGGTCACCTCCCACACACATCCTGACCGGGGCCAAAACCTGCACCCTTTGATGCACAGGCCAATGCTCTAACCACTGAGCACACTGACCAAGGCTGTTATTCCTATTTTGAAGATGAAGAAAGTCAGTCTCAGAGGAGTGCAGTACCTCGGCAAAAGGTCTTAGCGAGGGACAGAACCAGTGTGTGAGTCTGAACCCTCTGACACCTACCCAGGATGTTTTATTTCACATTTTAACATGTGACTCAGAGGCTTTAAAAGTGAAGGAGCAAGAGCCAAGCTGCCGTCCCCACTGGGGAGACAGCCCTCAAAGAAGAAAAAGGCAAAACTGGGCTCTCTCTCACTGGCTCCCTCTGTCTCCTCTGCAAGCAGGTCCAGCGGCAGAGCGGAGGGGAGAAGCTGCTCAGGCTGTGGACTTGGCTATCAATAGAGGCTGGGATCACATCTTCCGTCGCACCCCAAACCAGGCACTGACCAGCCAGAGGTACTGAACAGGACCGAAGCATGTTCCTTCATAGAGACAAACATCAGACTCCAGGATGCATGTGCCCTGACCAGGGCCTGGGGTGGGGAGGAGCCTGCAACTGAGGTACGTGCCCTTGACCGGAATCGAACCTGGGACCCTTCGGTCCGCAGGTCGACGCTCTCCACTGAGCCAAACCGGCTAGGGCCACCTTGCAGTTTTTACTCAATTTCTTGGTTTTCCAGCTGGCTTGACAACTGCTTTCCCACTAACTCCTGCTCCTTTGGGACCCTCCAGAGCGTCTCCTGCACTTCTATTCACCCTGTCCCCATGAGTCACCCAGCTGAGCCCTTGGGAAAGGCTTCCACACCCGGGCTTCTGAGTTTCTGACTCACACAAAGTCAAATAAATGGCTCTGGGGTATGAGAAGCAGACGCTGCATCTGGGGGTGGATACTTCACAGAAGCTCCAATGTTTCCCGGAGGAACAAACTCGCCAGCTCCTGAAGAGCGGCACGCCGGGAGTGGCTGTGCGGATCTGCGTAGACCACCGAGTGCAAGGCCGGTCCTGCACATACTTGCCTTGTGGTTCCAAGGAAGGTCTGAGCAAAACACGGTGGATAGAACCCTTGGGATGCTCTGTGTCACCCAAGAACAGAGTAGGGCCCAGCTGAGAATGAGAGTGGGGCCAGGACGATGATGTCATTCATTAACCCTCAGCCTTGCAACGGGGCAGTGGAGGCCCTTCCTACTCACTAGTGTTTGAGCAGCCCCAGTTTTGCTAAGTGGGCGACAATGACCTTGTTCATAATGCAGCTTTGTAAGCAGTGAGTCTCCTCCCAGGCAAAGCCCATTCCAGAAAGCCCTCAGTTTTATTACTTTGTGTGCACACAGGAGACACATGCACACAGGGTACAGGGATGCACACAGAGACATGGGAACACAGACATGGAGACACAGGCAGATGAAATGTACACCCATGCACACGCACATGCGCACACACACACATACACACACCAGAGCCAAAGAATGTTAGCACTAGGGAGAATCATAAAAGTCATCTAAGCCATTTAAATGAAATTCACTCCCTTATTTTCCAGTGGAGGAAACTGCAGCCTGGAGAAGTGAAGGAAATGACTTAACACATGGCGGACCAGTAGTTTTATTGCTAGCTTTGCCCAGTGGCCAGGTAAGTGTCTATTGAACGAGTACAAAAAACGTTTTACATAACTGTTAAAGGCACGCTTTAAAATTAAATACCCATTGCATTTTGAAGTTATTTATTACATGTTCTTACAAGCTAATATCTTTTTAAAGTATGATACTTTGTAAAACATGATCTGTCCGCAATGTGTTAAGATCACACAGTCTTTCCGTCTGTGTTCTGAAATCTGACCTCTGTCCGTGAGCTCAGTAGGACGGCTATGCTCTACTGGGGTCTAGCTGCCTGCACTGCGGTCAGGGAATTGTACTTGAGCAGAGAGCTGGAGTGATCACGGGGCTTGCTTTGTGCGTTCCCTTCTGCAATGGTTGTGTTTCCCTAAGTGACCATGACATTTCCCATTTCCATGCTCTTCTTACAATGTGACTTCAGCACTCCTCCCCCCGATTGTGGGGACCATGTTCTCTCCCCTTGACCTGGGGTTTGTGACTGACCCAGCAGATGTGATGATACCTAACTTCCCAGTCTAGGTCATAAGGAGGGCACAGCTTCTTTTGCTTGGTGTTCTCTCTCTCTCTCTCTCTCTCTCTCTCTCTCTCCCTTTCTACTTCCCAGAACACTTATTTTGGAGACCCAGCCGCCATGTTTTGAGGAAGCCCAACCTAGCCCACATGGAGAGACACTGTGGATAGGCCCAAATGGGAAGAACTGAGGCCGCCCCCCGCTGACAGCCAGCATCAACTACCCGGTAGGTGAGTCAACAGCCTTCAGACGATTCCACCTCCAGATGCTGTACAGCAGAGACAAGCTGCCCTGATGTGCTCTGTTTGAAACTCTGAACCATGGTATCAACGGACATAATAAATGGTTGTTTTTACTTTACTAAGTTTTGGGGTAATGTGTCATGTAGTCATAGTAAAAGCAACACCACCTGAGAATTACAGCTCTGTGCTGTCTGTTGTCCAATGCTGAAAATAGTTTCCTTATATATTTGTCATTGTTTTAGGAGCGCTAATCACCAAGCCAGGGCTTTAATTTGAAGCTCTGTTCTCTAAAATAATGAAAAGATACTAACAACAACAACAACATTGAGAGCAACTTCCTTTTATAAACTACTTTCTAGGAACAAGGGATCTCAATAAAACCACACAATAATCTTGTGAAATAGGCATTATTAACCCCATTGCACAGAGAAGAAAACTGAGGTTCACAGAGGTTAAACCTATGGTTTGCACACAGGTCTGTCTGACACCAAAGACCATGCAATTGACCATACACAGAAACACATATAGACATACTGACACACACACATACACATCCCAATTTACATATATGTACATACATATGTACATGCATAGGCATATGAAGACACTATGCACCCATTACACATTTCCAGAGTTTTTATGCTTTTAAAATATTTCTTGTTTTCAGAGTTAAAAATCCCCTTTACCCCAATTGTGTTAAATAGACTGAAAGAGACTCAGTCTGTTAGATATTACATTCCCCAAGCACACCCCAAGATGAAATTCCCTCCATCTGAGGCCACCACAGGCATGAGCGGCCGAGCTATTGTCTCTATTCTCCTGCCAAGGATTGCCTGGGACCTGGACGTGGGGGGAGTTGGGGTGGGACTCTTAACAGGACTTGGCTTGGTAGACAGAAGCTTTCTCCTGGGGCCACAAGGACTTTGCACTTGATGTTGTAAGAGTCTAAATTCAGAGAACAAAATGATTCTTAAATGTCCATAAGCAGAGAGCACAGAACAAGAGACCAGTGCTTGGAAGGGGGCAGGGGAAGGGAGTTTGAGAAAGGACCTTCTTGTCGAAGCAGGGTCATTCCCAGATATTCCCGAGCAGCGATAGAAGCTGGCTGTGGGCCCTCCTCCAGTTTCCCAGATTCAGCCTGCCTCTTCCAGGAAAGGGGGTGAGGATACTGAGAAGCTCTAAAGTGGCCGTTTTAGAGCAGGAATGATGCTCTTAGGTGAGCAAGTCTCAGGGCAGAGTGCTGGGTGCAGTAATTTAGAAGTTATTTGCGTCTCTTCGCCTTAAAATAGTGGAGACCCCAGACATATTTCTGTGAAGAGCTAAGAACACAGATAGAGTCCTGGTGGGGTGCTCAGTGGTTAGAGCGTTGGCCCACGGACCGAAGGGTCTCGGGTTCGATTCCAGTCCAGGGCACATACCTGGGTTGCAGGTTCCATCCCTGGTCCCGGTTAGGGTACGTGCAGGAGGCAACCAATAGATGTGTGTCTCTTTCACATCGATGTTTCTCTCTCTCTCTGCCTCCCCTTTCCCTTTGAAAACAAACAAACAAACACAGAAGTGCTTCTTTGGGAAAGAAAGAAAAGACACTGGTGTATTACTACAATCACCTTAATCTAGAAAATAGATGTCCCAAGTCCACCCCCACTCTCACCTCACAAAAAGTTCTCGCTTATGCAACCTACAGCAAGCAGCTGAGTCCAAAGGAGGAAACTGAAAATGGAAATGTCTAAGGTTCATCGCCACCTTCCTGCCCCCTCTTCTTAAGTTCAGTCCAGTAGCCCTGCTTACAGCTCCTCAGAGCAACTCTCGATAGTAGTCTAATACTCGCACCCAGTTTACAAGCTGCTTGGCAGCAGCACGCGCCCAGGAAAGCCAGTTCTGTCACTGGTGTCCCAGCCCAGTGAGCGGCATCCTCTCCACCGCACCACTCTGGGGGCCTCCACAGTGTTTGACACTTGGGGCATCGGATGAATGAACTGCCATGTCTCCCTGGCTTCGGTGGTGAGGGGCGGGGGCTGCCTCTCTCTGAGCCCTGGCCTATCTGTCCCATCTGGTCTCTCCCTCCTTCCCCGTCCGGGAACATCCGTGCAGATCCGCGTGCCTTTGTGGTCCCAGCCCCAACCGGGGAGAATGCTGCCCCGAGGTTCTTTGTGTGCAAGGGTGACGGGTGCGGAGGACAGGGAGGGGATAAAGCAGATTGTCAGCACAGAGGAGACAGCTGGGTGGCCTGAATGCGGAGCTCCGGCGGCTCTCCCGCACGCGGACCCACTCCGTCCCGCACACACCCCCTTACCTCTGCCTCCCTGCGCAGCTCCCGGCCTGCGCGCTCCGGGAGCCGGGCGTCCAGGCGGCCCCACAGCAGCCAGGGCAGGGCGCACAGCAGGAGGCCCACCCGCGCAGCCATCTCGCCGCCGCCCCCGCCGCGGAGCGCGGGAGGAATGCGGGGCTGCGGGGCGCTGGGAGCCCGCCGCCGTCAGCCGGGCTGGGGGCTCTGCGGGTGCTGCGGGTGTGCGCCCCGCACCGAGGGGGAAGGTGCCCGGGGCTGGCCAGCGCCCCGGCGCCGCGCGCTGGGCCGCTCGTCGGGGACGCTTCGCCCGGAGCCGGAGGTAGTCCAGCTCCGGCCGTGTCTGTTCAGCGGGTTGCGGGCCCGAGACCTAAAAGGCAAGGGAGGAAGGGAGGGAGGGAGGAGGGGCGGGAGCCCGGCACTCCGGCCACACCCACCCCACTCCGCTGCTGGAACGCGGCGGTTCTGAAGTTTCCTCCGCAGGCTGTACGGCCTCGCCCGGTGCCCGCTGTCGCCCCGCGGACCCATTCTCTCGCCCGCCACCTCGAGTTGAGCCAGATCGCTCTGGGGAGGGCGGGGTGAAAGGGTCTTCTCCGGGCCGGCATAGCTACCTGATTTCTAGATGAGGCTCATTGACTGGGTCAGCCAGGCTGGCAGGGAGCAAGGACCCGGAGAGTGAAGGAAGGAGCCTTGGGCTGGGGTCAGAAGAATTTAATTTGAGTTCCAGATCTGCTTTTTTTAATTTTTTTTTAAATACTGCAAAACTCTGCCTTTCAAACTTTATTATACACCAGTGTCACCTGGAAAGCTGGTGATCATGCATATTTCTGGGCTTGTATTATGATTCAGTAGTTCTGAGGTGAGGCCCAGGAGTCTGCATTTTTAAAAATATATTTTACTGATTTTTTACAGAGAGGAAGGGAGAGGGATAGAGAGTTAGAAACATCGATGGGAGAGAAACATCGATCAGCCGCCTCCTGCACACCTCCCACTGGGGATGTACCCGCAACCCAGGTACACGCCCTCGACCGGAATCGAACCTGGGACCCTTCAGTCTGCAGGCTGACGCTCTATCCACTGAGCCAAACCGGTTAGGGCCAGGTCTGCTTTTTGGTTAGCAGTGTGAATCCTGCCACAACCTACCTGCTGGCTGTGTGGTCTTGGGCAAGCCTTCTCTGAACCGGGTTTTCTCATCACTAACCAGGGATAGTAATGCCAGGCAGAACCATGTCATTGTAGGGAGCAGTTAATGAGAGAATAACGCCCGAAGTAACGCAGCACCGTGCGGCATTAAGTACGCATTTGGTAAATGGTCGCTTGCCAGCACTGTGTTTTCGCAAAGGATGTAACTACTTGGAGCGTCAGTTTCCTCACCAGTAAAATGAGAGCAAATGATATTTAGTTTCTGGAGTTGCAGGGAGGTTAAAAGAGAGAATGAGTGGAAAGTGCCTGGCTTTATGGATCCCACACAATGGTAGTAAAGGTGGAATGAAATGATTCACGTGGAAGCCTTAGCTAAACTCATGCTGAGCCAAAGTAAACTGTCTTCGTTATCCGCCTTAGTAACTGCAAGCAGGTTACTGTCTCCTAGTCTCAGTCTGTAAAATGCAAAGGACACAGTGACGCCCACCTCTCGGAATTGTGTGGATTAGATGAGTTGATAGATGTAAAAGTAATCTGGAATCTATAAAGTGCCAAACAAACGTAATGAAGTGCTCTTATCCTCAGGCTTAGGGCCTCAGAAAGTTTATTAAAACATAGAAAGGTTTTGTTATTTAGAAAAAGCTGCCACTCTGGTGGAGGAATTTTTAAAAGGCTCCTCTTTGATTGGACAACCTTCCTCGAAACTGGCGTTCCTGTGGGTGGAGTAATTAAAATAGGCCCACCCACTTCCCAAACAACCAATGAAAAGGGGGCACTCCTCCTGGATGAACCAATTAGAAACAGATGCTCCTCTGGCAGCCCAATGAGAAAAAGGCGCCTTTCAATGGCACATCGCCGTGCTGGACTCCGCTGGGGCGTAGAGTTGAGAATGGATTTCTTTGCCCATCCCCTGTCCGCAGATGCCCTTGTGTGCATCTATAAGGCGAGTCCTTTCCTGGAAGGGAGCGCCAGAGGTTGTGGACAAGGCCTGGGCCTTATCTTCCAAGAGCTTTCGGTGTAGCGGGTTAGACTGTAACGAAGATTCTCAGCTGAAACCAACACAAGCCACAGGTTTCAGTGAAGTCCTGTGGTGAGCCGAAGGAGGCAGATGCTGAAGGTGAGTTGGGTAAGGTTGCTCGATTTAGCAAATAAAAATACAGTTAAACTTGAGTTATCGGATGAACGACGCGTAATTGTTTTAGCATAAGCATGTGCCAATGCACTATTTGGGACATAAACTAGAAATTTAATCTGAAATTCAAGTTTAACTTGGTGTACTCTATTTTATCTGGCGACGTGTGTGTGTGTGTGTGTGTGTGTGTGTGTGTGTGTGTGTGTGTTGGGGAGGATGTCAAAAGGTTGCATGTATGACATAATATATGGTGCCCTTGACCAATAAGGTGGATTTTAATAGGCCAGATACAATTCTACTTTGGGCCAGGGAGTTCTAGGGAGTACCAGTTGGTAAGGACATTGTGGGCCAAGCCGGAGCCAAATCCAGATTTGCCATTTTTTTTTAAAATATTTTTTATTGATTTTTTACAGAGAGGAAAGGAGAGAAATAGAGAGTCAGAAACATCGATGAAAGAGAACCATCGATCAGTCGCCGCAACCCAGTACCGCAACCCAGGTACATGCCCTTGACCGGAATCGAACCTGGGACCCTTCAGTCCGCAGGCCGACGCTCCATCCACTGAGCCAAACCGGTTTCAGCTGCCATTTTTTTCTTCAGGAAGAATGTCTCCATCCCTTCCTCTAGCACAGCGGTTCTCAACTTGTGGGTCGCGACCCCTTTGGGGGTCGAACAACCCTTTCACAGGGGTCACCTAAGACCATCGGAAAACACATATATAATTACATATTGTTTTTGTGATTAAGCACTATGCTTTAATTATGTTCAATTTGTAACAATGAATTTGGGGGTCACCACAACATGAGGAACTGTACAAAGGGTCGCGGCATTAGGAAGGTTGAGAACTACTGCTCTAGCACATCCCAGGAGTTCTCTATTTCAGCTGCACTCTTAGGAGAGTGGGAGGCAGGAAACCGTGGTCTCAGGAGGGCTGAGTGACTGGGAGGAGACACTTCGGATAGCTGACCCTGCTTTTCTCTGCATCCCAGGTAAGACTTGGTCTCTAAACTTCAAAAACGAGCACAACTACTGTGTTTGAAGGTTGACTTCCTCTGCTTTCCTTTTGTGTTCTTGGTTGAATTATTTCATGCCATCCTGCCTTCCCCCATTCCCTTCCTGCTAATGGTCACTTGGAGAGGCCATGCAGATTTGGAAGTGCCTGCAAGAATTTGTACAGAACAGAGCTTCCTTTGCCCACACACTCCCCATGGCCTTCAACCATGCCTTTGCACAGGGTGTCTGTTTCCCAGCATGTTTCCATGGTTAGAACCTGGGTAGCAGAAGCTTCTGTTCCCTTCTGCCTCTGAGGCTTACTCATAAGTCCCAGAGCAACAGATTCTGTGATCTTCAGGAATCTGGAGGTCTCTGTGGCCCCTCAACTGACTTGCTGTTTGGTGTTACCTTAGGACACATGCTGAGCCAAATAACTTTCGAAGGGGCGGACAAGGAAGGTGGCTTGCCATATGAGAGAAGGATCAAGGAGGACAGGAAGATAAAGTCAGGATAGGTTTACCCAAGAAGCTCAGTCCACAGCCAGGGTATCAGAAGAGTGACAGGAGGAGAATGGCTTTGGAGTAGGAATTCTCAAAGCACAGTCCAAAGATCACCCACATCCCAAACAATACTGTGGTGACAAGTCGCTGTATCAACCCAATACTATTATTTCTTCCTCTGGTGGGAGAAAGGGGTGGGGATGGGAATGAGGAATTGGAGCAAATAATAATGGCAAGTACTTGTTGAGAAATTAACATGAGCCATGTATGTGCTGTGCTGTGTGCTTGACACAAATTTTGTCATCGAATCTTTACAGCTACTAGTGTCAGCATCCTTATCTTAAAGATGTGGAAACTGAGGCACACAGAGATAACACCTGTCCAAGGTCACAAATCTAGAAATGGACTCAGGGTACAAAACTGGAGAGTAAGTCCAGATCTCACACCCTTAGACACTATACTATCTTTCCTCAAGTCAAATTTGTAAAATGTGATTCTTGGATCACCTGCCGTGAATCACCTAGAGGCACACATTAAAAATTCAGATTCTAGCCAAAACCGGTTTGGCTCAGTGGATAGAGCATCGGCTTGCGGACTGAAGGGTCCCAGGTTCGATTCCGGTCAAGGGCATGTACCTGGGTTGCGGGCACATCCCCAGTAGGAGATGTGCGGGAGGCAGCTGATCGATGTTTCTCTCTCATCGATGTTTCTAACTATCTTTCTCCCTTCCTCTCTGTACTCTGTAAAAAATCAATAAAATATTTAAAAAAAAAAAATTCAGATTCTAGAACCCTACTCCAGACCTACTTAATCACTAAATACTAGATAGCAATGTTCTAGAGGAAGCTAGTACTAAGTTTTCCAAGGATCTGGCTCTCACCTTCCTTCTCACTCTAACTTGGCTGGGCAGGTTCCTGGCCCGGCAGGGCTGGCAGTCCTCTCATACTTCCTCTTCAAAGAGAGCTGCTTCCCCTCCCTCCCTCGCCCTGCACTGGGCTTAGTTCAGACCCACAGTGCCTCCCAGCTTTCCCAGAGTGGACCAGACTTCTGTGGAACTCAAGCCAGGGCGTGGGCATGTTGCCTGCCCAGGCTGGCAGCTGCCTGGACCATTCCTTCTTCAGTGACAGAAGGCAACAGCTGGCCAATGAGTCGTCTTCCTGACCAGGACTTCTTGAATCAGGCAGGATGTGCGGACCTGGACAAGGCCCCTCTGGGCCTCAGTTTCTCTCTTCATAACATGAGAAACAATCCGCTTTGTCTCTGCCCCTTCCTCCTCCCCAGGAAGTGTGCAGAACACAAAGCAGATTTTATCAGAAGGAATTCTGGACTCCAGAGAAAGGCACTAACAGAATGATCAACCTCTCAAAACTACAATAATAGGAATAAGAAGAGGAATTGTGAGGACATGAGATTAGCTTGGGAGAGCTGAAAGGAGGCTTTTCCCGGAGTTTTGAGTATTTTAGCTGTGATGATTTGGATTCATTATTGACCATAACCTCTGTGCATTTTTAGCTGTGATTCATTTCTTAAAGCCCTGATTTTCTAGCAGTCACTTCTGCCTCTGAAACAGAAATTTCCTCTCTAGCACATGTGGAT